GTCCCTTCACATGTATTTGTTGTAGTTTTCTGCTAGATGCACAGTTGAGATGTTATTGTTGGGAAGAGCCACTGTGGCACACTTGAGAGCTTTTGAGGGACATCTTTAACTCCAAGATTTCATAGATCATGTGCAATGAGCAGTCACAAAAGTCACAATACAAATTATTATTGGGGGAAGAAGACATTTTTAGCTCAGCTGTGGGGCTGCAAAGCAACATTCTGAACCAGCAAATACTGTGGGTTAAATCCACTGATAAGGGAAACTGAGGTAATTTGGCAGAAACTGTCAAAAAATATCAACCCTTGCTATCCAGTCCTCTGGGGTGAATTGAGTGACTTCAGCCTGGAGAATCCTTCTAGGCAGCAGGTACATCTATGTGTGTAGGTAACTCTTTCCTGTTTTGCTCTCATCCCTGTTGTTCTCCTCACCTTGCTAGATATTGCTGAAATTTTTGCCGTACTCTCCACTGAGGTCAGTGCCTAAAGGATAAGGACTAGCAACAAATATTAAACCATCTAACATGAATATTAATTTGTCTAATATGTGAATACCTGAAATATCAATTCAAAGTTGGATCTTTCAGTTTCTGTTGCCCAGGGTTGGTGTTGACTGTAACAAGATACTGCTGAAAAGAGCATTGCAAGGTGGAAGTCACAGACTATATGGATACAACATCTATAGGGAAGAATGGTAGGATTGGGCCCACTATTTGGAAATCTCCAATTCTGCTCAAATCAGAGAAATAGAAGCAAGTTACAGGAGCTAGAACTGTAAACAAATCAAAGTCTTCTGACATCTAAAAAAAAAAAGTTGATATAAAAAAGGTGTTTCAGTTAGAGGAGTAGATTGGAATACTGTTTATAATCCCACAGTGAAGCTAATGATGAGATTAGCTTTGCTGAATAAAACCAACAGGCCCTTATCATCTGTCTTGTTTTCTATGCCAAGTAAAAGAATAGGCTTTTGTGTAAGCAAAGTATCATTTTCTCTGCCTCGGACAAAGCCAGGGTGGAGATGGACTAAAAAGGCTATAATAATGTCTAGAAATCAAATGCTGAGAGAGTAGAAAAGCTGATAGAGAACATGATATTCCTATAACAATCACATTTCAACACAGAGGAGCAGAAAAAGCTCCTGTAGACTAGCAAGAGTTTTTGGGCTTTGGGTGCCAGAATTCCCTCCTGCCCTTGCATTTATGAGCCTTCCCTCTCTCCAGCTCAGGAGAAGGCAGTGCTAGGATGTACCAACTAGGGATATGGTGATTTTCCAACTTTTTTTCATCACGTCACTGGGTTTTTTTCTCTTTTGAAGCCATAAGATCTTGGAACTCAAGGCCAGAAGAAAATGAAGCCAAGCGAGTGACGCACTCATTGAAGCTGCCTCTCAAAGACACATACCCAGACTGTGTTACTTCTCTGTTGCATTAGTAGTTGCTACTTAGCTTATGTGTATTTGAGCCTGCTGGCCAAACAGAAAGGGGGAAAACAGCCAAGATGCAGCCTGGTTGTTGCTCTTGAGCAGCTTTGAACATCTATGCTGTCAAACTCTGCTCAAAGAGCAGGAAATTGTAATGAGGTTGTGGGCCTTCCTCAGCGGAAAATCTTTATTTGGACTGTTGTACTGTGTTGCAAAGTCTTGAGTGCTGTTATCATACCTACTCAACCAGTCAAATTCAGTAACATCAGGGAAGGTTGGTGGAATACAAATCTGCTTACACCGAGTCCAGTGAAGCCCCTTTGGTGCTAAATGCTAAACTTGACACTGGCAGAATTAAAGAAAAGCTGGAGGGTGCCTGGAGGTTTCACTGAGAGGCAGTGAAATCTTTGTGACATGTCTCCTTCCCCGCTTGTGTTCATTACTGTGACTTAAATGGATCTCAAGGTGACCTCTCAGTTCCTGTTCCAGAAGCAAAGCCGGTGGAAGATTTTGACAAGGACTTGAATTCAAGAGCCAAGTGTGTTTTTCCTTTTAAGATTTTTAGCTGATCTTTGGCATTAATTCAGTATTGAAGTTCTTCAGGTTGCAGGATGCTTTGAAGGCTGATGTTTTGTTTCAAAGATACTTCCAGGGAATATTGCTTTAAACAGAGAAGGACAGAGAGACCATTGTCTTTAGCCTGTAACACTTCCTAACTGTTTCTCTGCTTTATATCATGTCCGTGGGAAACTAGTAGGGATTTAGGGACTTGGGGCCAGATCTGTAAAAACTCTGGACTATTTTACATGGGATACAATGTCCACTAGCCTAGATAGCAGAGTCTTTCAGAAAGAAAATATAAAGAGCACCAGGAAAGAAAATGCTCAGGAAAAAAAGCATTGGGAAAGGCTTCCCAGGGAAGTGGTGGAATCACTGCCCCTGGAAGCTTAAAAAAATATATAGATGTGGTGCTTAGAGATACAGTTTAGTGGTGGATCTGACAGTGCTGGGTTAATGGTTGGTCTTGATGATCTTAGAGGTCTTTTCCAACCTCTATGATTCTGTGACGTGTCTGTGTCTGTGCTTGGATCCCACACTGTGCATTTCACAGCAGCTTGGCCTGTTCTTCAGTCTCTATTTCAAGTCCAAAAAAAGTCTGATCAAATAATAGTGGTAAATTTTCCTCTTGCAGAGGCATAAACTGATGGCAAGCCCTCAATAGTCAGTGTGCTGAGTTCTTGGTTCTGTTCAAGGTACAAGAGACCTTCAGAAAAACAACAAACAGAATGGGTTCAGTGAAGGTGAGGAGCTGACAATTAACTCCTCTGCTGCAAATCAAACACCAGGAGTATCTTCTTTGTACACAGGACACACTTGAGATGGACCCTGTGGCCCTGAGCTGGGGATGGCTGGTGTGCGAAGTGAAATATGGGGAGCTGCTGGCACGAGTTGGCATCTTGCCTTCCAAAGCACACAGGAAAAAGGAAAAGAAAGAAGATGACATAAATCACTGTTGCTGGGAACAGCTCCCTGAAAATAGGTCTTTTCTTTAGTCTGTGGGGCAGCAGTGGTAATAAAAGACTAATAGAGATGGATGAATGCAATTGAGTGGTGTGAAAGAGAGGGGATGAGATGAGATGAAAATGAAATGAAATAGGAAATGAAGAGGAATGGCAGGTGGGAGGAAGAATTTGCATATTCCCCTGAGCAATATGTTAGGCTGTGCATAGTTTGCTTCATATCTAGTTGGGCCTCCCCCTAGATTCTAACTGAATCAAGGATGGTTATCTGAGAAAGAAAACAGATGACAAATAATGGGAAGCAAGTCAGTAACCTGATGCTCAAACATGTATATTGTTTCTGGTCATACAAACTGGATCATATTGCTGCACGATGGGAAAATAAAAATAATCTGACTATGAGTGTTGGATGAAAAGATGCCACATCCAGGCCTGTCATGGGGTTTCCTCTGCACATTTCTGAGTTGCACACAGTAATTAGAGGTTCATGTCAAGCAACAGCAAAAGGTTTTAGCAAAGATCTGCCAAGTGTGTCCACAGACGAATATTTGTCAAAAAGAAAGCAATTTCCCTGCCCCCTCCCATGACTTAGTATTCTCTCCCCTGGCAGCAGTGCTCGCATTTTCAGGGGAGAAGTTATTTGTGCTTCTTGTTGTCTGCTGCAGGCATTTTTCTGGTGTGAGGGAATGTGTGCTTTCTCTGCTCAAAGTCAACTTTTACATGAAAATCGCTCTATTGGGTGGGCATCTTCCAGCAGTTGTGACCTCCAGAAGAAGGCCAGAAGGTTGGCCAGGCTTGTTTCTCAGCCCATCAGGGTTAAGCACAGACATTTCTGTGCCTTTTTCCATCTCTGCTCTCATCTGAAAGGCTCAAAGCACTTCCTACTGTGGAGCCATGAAACCAAAATAGGGCAGGGCTGTGTCCCTGTTGGAGCAAAAGATGTTGGAGTAGATCTACTGGTGGTCTCCCATGCATCAGGGGTTTGAAAATCCCAGCTGAAGGGAGGTGCACAAGCTCTGATCAGTTGGTGCTTGCAGATGATTGTCCACACTTGATGCAGGCTCCCTAATTCTGCTGTGACGTGAGCTAAAAGCCAGGGTCTGCTGTCAGCCAAATTTCACTGGTGTGAACTGTAGATGAACCATCTGCAATGATGACCTAAAATCCAGGAGTCCTCAGGTCTGCTGCCGTGTCTGCTGCAGATTTTTAGCATCACCTTGAGCAGGTCCCAGGTCTTACGAGTTTTGGTTTCCTGCCTGGAAAGCAGAGGATTCAGTTTCTTTTTCTCAGAGCACATATTTTTATAAAGTACAAATATTTGTGAAGTTAAGTGTTTTGACTGTGTGAGCCTCTCGGAGAAGAAACCATAAATATGTGTCAGGCCTATGATCTGAATTCAAATCGATGAACTAGAAAAAGTGTTGACAGCCTGAAACCAGCTGCCCTGTACACACATCTTCTGTCTACCTGAAAGATTATTTGTGGAGTGTGTTTCTATTTTTCTCTGACAAAAAATAGAATACCAAGCAAAGAAGCATGACCCATTTCTCTGTCAGGCTCTAAACCCTGCTTACTGGGATGTGACTGAGGTATTGATATAAGAGAAGTTCATTTTAGGCTACAATATTCATTGTGCCACTGAAGAAGAAACAAAGCCTGCCACCTTCAGATGAAATGGATGTGCTTTCCAAGCCAAAGTATGTTTATCTCCTCCACAACTTCTCTATGATCTGTAATTACATCGAGACCATATAGTGAAACAGAAAAGTTGCAAATGAAGAGAGTTAGGAATGTAACTAATCATTTTATAATAGGAAAACATACAAGCAATACACCACTGAAAGTACCTGCAAACTCTGTTAATAATCAATAGGTCTGATAAGAACATTGTTCTTCATAACTGCATCACCTTCAGTAATTTTTCATGGTCCTTCCTCTTGTAATGCCAAGTCTGGGTGCACATCATGGTGTTCATAATGTTGCCCATAGCAGTGGACTTTCCCCATGGGTCTTTTTTTTTTTTTTTTTTCAAATATAGCATATAGCATATTCAAAGCAATATCAAGTCATACCACACTGAGCTCTTTATTACCAGAGATTTTTGGACAGAAGCACATAATCTAGATTTTCTGAATCAATAGGCAGATGGTGACTACTTTTTTTTTTTTTTGCAATATTTTTTTCCAACTTGTACATTTTAGATTTACATAACTTGGTTTCACACATCTGAAGAAACACTGACATAAATCTAAGTTTATCTTCGATGCATTTACAAATATTTTTCTTTTTTTTTTTTTTTAATTTCCTGACATGTCTCTGTCTAGACTTCTGCCAGAAAGCAGGAACTTTAACTTTCTCCTCTGTTGACATAAATACCTTTTAATATTATGCAGAGAATGGCATGACTGTCACTTTCCCATGAGGATGTGGGACCCATTCACTCCCCCACTGAAACACATCAGCTTTCCATCAGCCAAGATAAGTAGCTCTGACATCTTCCTGCTACACACTGCATATCCCTGAAATACAGAATCTTTGTGACTCTAGGCTGGTTGAATCTTTTTGATTATTGTTTTCAGTTTGGTTCCCTGAAACAACGAAGGTTAGCTGCATCCGGCTCTTAATTTGACTTCATCTTCTATTACTCATTATTTTTTGCAAAGGCCTTAATTCCCCTCTAAAACATTTTAATTAAAACAGCAATTTCTCAGTGCTGCACTTCACGAGCAGATTTTGCAGCAACTTCAAAGAGACGCAGATGTTTACTGAATTTGGTGGGGTGATATTTGAGGCTGCCTACTGGCAAGGAAAAAATTCATAAACATCTCTGAGAAACTTTCCTTTGGTAATGACAACATTTCCTTCTTATATTTTAGCAAGTCTAATATTTCCCAATCTCAACAGGCATATTTCATAGGCACAGGCATAGGTACTGTTATCTACTCACAGTCTGAGCCCTGTGGGATGCACTGCTTTGGGGTAAATACCTCCCAGTGCTGTCACCTCAGGCTTTGGCAAAGGGTACAGGACGCTGTGTGTTAGTTTGCTCTGTGCATGTCCTCTTATGGAGTATCAGGAGACTGGGAATAAGGAAACCAAAGTTCAGTTTCTGCTCAAATTTTCCACAGCCCTCCAGTGTGATTTTGAGTGGCTGTTTAGCTTTGGGTGCCTCAGTTCCACCTGGTAAAGGGGTGATAACACATCCTGGCTTTGGATTGACTGAGCTCCTGGTGGCAGGGTCTGTCTCCCTGTGCACCAAGGGCTTCTGAGCTTGAGAGGGTCTTGGGGTTTTTAAAGTGCTGTTCAAGTAAAATTCAGAAATGCTAATTTATTTTGAGGGGTTTTTCCTTGTGGCAGGTGAGCCTGGAGGGGGTCTGATGATCCCATTTGGGACCACACATATGGATAACTCTCTGAATTGAGATGATGGTACTAGGGACACCTGGCCACAGCAGTCTATGTCTAAAACACAGACTAGGGTTCAGGTGTCTCCTGTGGTTTGTAGAGCTGTAGCCAGAAAATACATGGCCTGTCCATGGGACACCCGGGAGGCTTGTCTCTGTGTGCTAGGATCTACACCTGGTGGTGAGGCTCATGCTCCTTTCTGTGCACAGTAGAACCACAGAATGTTTAAGGTTGGAAATGACCCCTAAAATCATCGAGGCCAAGCGTTAACCTCACACTGCCATCTTCACACTAGACCATGTCCCCAAGTGCCACACTGAGATGTTTTGCCAACACTTCCAGGGATGGTGATTTTACCTCTTTCCTGAGTAGCCTTTTTCTTCCCTGGATACCTTTCACTCATCTCTTTTTGAAGGGGAGATAAATAGAATTACTTGGAAACAGCTTATCCCTTTCCACTGTGAGCGTCAGGCAAAGACCAGCATGGAAAGCTGGCGTGGAGTATGGCGTGACACGTCATGTAGCTGCTTTAACCTACAGTGTAATTACAGTGACAATTTCTGCCTCTTGAAGCATCAGGATTGAAGTGGTTACCCTGAAGGAGAAAGAAAGTTAGCGGGAGAATTGCGACCAAATCTAGGCTGGGAAGTGCAGCACTTCCTCCGCATTGGATTAAAAGTGATCAGCATGGCCAAAGGGGTCCTGTGAGAGACAGGTAAGTAGGCTGAAAAAAAATTGGAAATATTAAAGAAATGAAGCTAGACTGGATAAAACTAGTTTTACAATTCCCTATTCCTCTTTGATTTGGTAGCATTAGGTGGACTCAAGGGTAGATTGCGCAGACTTATGCGTGACAGCAAGACACTTTTCCACATGAATAAACCCCCTGGAATTAATTGGACCGCTCACAAAAGTGCCTGGGAATGTGCACTAGGCTTGCACATTTCAACCCTCAGATCTGATCTTTCTTCAGCAGTGCAGGAGCCAGGCTGCCTGGTGAACAGCAACAGCTCAGCTAGAAATGGGAGTTCAAACCACTCACAGTGAGTGGGTCCATGTCTCTGTGGACACATCCTTGCTGGGGAGCATCTCAGCTCAGCTGAATTCTCCTTGGTAAGAAACATTAAAACTAAGCTGAAGGAAACTATTCCTGAAATGAAAGCAGGGCTCAGCCACAAGTCTGTGCTTACCACAAACTGTCCCGTGTTTGCTGTGCCATGCCATTGCCCACATGTCCACTTTTAGCTGGTGGCAAATGCTCTCAATGAGAATTAGCCTGACCTGCAACGAGGGAAACTTAAATTTAGGTAGTTCTTCCATGTGTGCTGTAGGATAAGAGCACACAGCCAGGCAGTCCCTTGTGTTGGGATGTGCCTGAGCATTCGGGGTGTCCACAGAGGCATTTGCTTCAGCTGAGGTGCTTGTTCACCAGTGGCAAATGGGCTCCTGAAAAAGCAAACCGTGTGCAAAATTCCCCTCATGTGTTGGTCTGGAAAGAAATAGCTTTGTTGTTGTTTCAATGAATTAGTGAGCCAACAATGCAAAGCTTTGGAGGTGGTTACTGGGTTTTTACTGGAGTCTCTAAGAGCTATACAAAGTCTGAAGACATTGTATGTACAGTACATCTTTAATAAGAAGGGAGCTCACAGTCTACCAAACTCTGCCAAATAAACTTTTAATACATACTGTACTTCACTCAGTAGTTGTCCATCTCTTCTTCATGGAATATCTAACAGCTCTAAAAATTTTTTCTTGGAAGAGGATAGAATTATCATTGTTATATATCAATCAAGTATGGTTAATGAAGCAAAGCCAGCATGCTAGTATTGCACAGGGGGAAAAGCCTCCAGAACACAAAGTGAAACAACAAATGCCCTCAAAATTCTGCCAAAGGGAACAGGAAGCTCTGGATGCCACATCAGTAGGATTCGTGTAGCTCTTAGGCGTCCTTGTACCACAGCAGGTTTGCTTTGCCTCTTCTCTGCCACATTTCTCTCTCAAACAGGAAGGGAACTTCCAGACCATTACAAAAAAGGAAAAAAAAAATTACAGCAGCTGCAGCAAAGTGTGGTACTATTCAATTTCTTGAAGAGCGAGGCTTTTATTTCAAAATATCATATATTAATATATATATATTTCTATATATATATACTTTAACTGGTATAAAGTAAATTGTAGATCCAAACTCATACTGTTGTTTGTACTTCGCAATCTCGGAAACTTTAGCAAAGGAACCATTTTCTTCATTTTTTTATTTTCAGCTGTCAAAAATCAGGGGCATTATTTCCACCGAATACTTTCTTTCCCACAGTAAAGCCACTGTTGTTATCTGGTAAACAGTCAAAGTGCAAATAAGAAATCCATTTGGCTTGTAAATGCTGAGATGGTTTTAAACTTTCCATACTTTGTCCTCATCCATCAGCAGGGCTTTCACTGCCTCCGTGCAGACGCAGGTGCTCTGTTAAGTCCTCGGGTGGATCTGCAGTGAGAAAATAAAAAAGAGTCAGTTATGTAAAATATGCTATTTTTTTAATGTATTCTTTTGGGAAAGAAAGACCCAGGCTCTGTGGCATAAGGGTGAGCTATATAGCTGAGTTTAAATTGCAATACTGGGGGTGTGTGTGTCTTTTCTGTCAGGGCTGCAAGAATGTAAGGACATGCAAAAGACAGACCCTGAGCAAACTCCTGCCTGTGTGCTGGGAGATGCTGGATGTGCATCAACCACCTGGGTTGGTGGTGCAGGAGATCATAGAATACCAGAACATCTTGGTTTGCAAGGGAGCTTAAAGATCATCTCATTACACCCCCTGCCATGGGCAGGGACACCTTCCACTATCCCAGGTTGCTCCAAGCCCCCTCCAACCTGGCCCTGAAAACTTCCAGGGATGGGGCAGCCACAGTTTCTCTGGGCAACCTGTGCCTGGGCCTCACCACCCTCACAAGGAAGGATTTCTTCCTGGTATCTAATCTAAACCTGCTGTCTTTGAGTTTGAAGCCATTCCCCTGGAGTAGGGGAAGGGAATGACAGAAGGCCCTGGTGCCAACGTGCTCTTTGCTGTGGGATGAGATTAGCAGAGGCTGCTGAGAAACGTGATGCTCAGGTGCCTCAGGGAACCACAGAATGCCCTGCATTTCTCTGATGGCAATATATGTGGAAAACCAAGTGTTTCTCTGGAAACTGGGGGGTGGGTGGGCTGTCATGCAGGGTGCAGGCTGTGAAGGTGGAGAGGTCCTTTGAGCTGAGCTGCTCTGCAAGTCCTCAAGTGCTCAACGCTTTAATATCCATCCTCCAGATTATCAGCAACACCCAGCCTGAGATGCTGCTCTTCTATTTCCCCTGGTGCCAGTTGCTCTGCTGAAACGTGGTGATGCAATCTCCAGGCAGGTCCCAGTACAGCTCCAAGGGCCCCATGTTTTTAAGGAAAGCACTGAAAGTTATGTTCTTAAATTAAAAAAAAAAAAAAAACAACAACAAAAAAAACCCCAAAAAACCCCCCACAAATCCAACCAAACGAACAAAAAAAGGAGTGACTAGAGATTCAAAAAAAAAGCATTGAACCTGTTCCAAAAACTGAATGACAAAATGATTTCTTTCCAGTGTTGTTTGTCACCTGCCTGACCATCAATAGAAAACAAATTGATTTACAGAAGCTGTGAGCTCTGTATCTTTGGCTTTAAAAACTTAATTAGTGAGCTATGCTAAAGGACTAAACACAGAAAGAGGATGTGCTGGCAAAGACTTCACTGGATATGTTGTCCACCTCCTTCTGACATTAATCAGTATTAATCACCCTAGAAAATGATACATATTGTGTATATACATGTATTCATAAATATATACATGCACACATGCTTATATGTGATTTATTGTGGGCCTGGAAGAATATACTGATGGGTATTTTAATCCTGAGATTCACATATGTGAATGTTTTCCTTGTCAGGGCAGCAGCTGCCCAACATAAATGTATTTAGTGTAAGGAAAAGTCTTCATTAAAATAGTTCACAGCGTGTACAGACTTGCTCTAGCTTTTTGGCTCATCACCACAGATATAACTAGGTTGTGGACTGACTTGTCTTGTTTTTTTCTGCTTTCTTAACTTCCTTAACTACATAAATTAGACACACATGGCCCAATCTTGTGGCCTGGACCATGGTCAGTACAGATTGCATTGTAATCTCTTTCTCTGCTGCCATCTGAAATGGCCAAACTAAGGAAAAAAAGTCTGTTTCAGGATCTGATTGCTTCCATTACTTTACATTTATGTTGCCAGAGTTGACACAGCAGTACAGATTCTAGCAAAGTTTCAGGGACTAAGAAGTAGAATTTTTACTCAGAAAATGCAAGAGACAGTTGCTAAGCACATCATGTCATGTTGCCTTTGTCAGTTGGGTTCTGTAATGATATTTTAAAGCAACAAAGCAAAATTCTACTGGAAGCAGCACCATAAGGTACTCCCCTCACAAGCTAATTAAAATAACTCCTGTGGGTAAATGAAGAAATATTTTTTTTCAGTTCTGAGCATTCACTCTGCAAGTATTTAATTTAAATGAAATACAATAATGCATACTGAATAGATTGGACCATACATCTGCATATTAATGAAGCTGCTAAATTTCTAGCAATCACTTCTATCGCCTAAAACTAGTTTATATGATGAGGACTGGGGGAGTTAAGAGTAGGACAGTTTGACTTGAAAAAAGTAAATGCAATTCCTAAATTATATAACTTGCAGACAGAGTGCAGAAGGAATGAATTATTGCATAAGATACTTCATGTTGCTTCTTATTTCTTCAACATCACTTTCTTCCGTTTTAACTCCTCAGTTCAGTGAGAAAAAATGTTGCCTCAATGGAAAGGACATGTAGTAAGTTTGTGTTTTGGGATTTTTTGACTGCACTGCAAGGCACATACATTAGGGCACAGCCTTCCAGTGGTGCTGCACTGTGACATGATCAGCTGAGAGCACAGAAGGATTTGCAGCAACAACCATGAAACTGAGTCATGATATCATAATTCCCTCCATGCTTTCTTCATGTTTCTAAGAGATGACAGGGACAATATGGATCCTGTTTTGGGGAGTTACTTCCTGCCTTCTGCAAAGGAAATCTCCTAAATTAGCAGATATCCTAATAATTTAATGTGTTGGTGTGATTAGCCATGCCAGGAGGCAGAGCTCAAGAAGCTGGAGGTGCAATACAAATCCTTCATCCTAGTGTAGATCATAGGGAGGGAAAGAAAAGAATTCAGGTGGCATGGGGGTCAGTTAGGGTAAAATCTCCTCCTTCAACAAAAAGCCTAAAAGACATGAAAAATGACTAGCGTTAGGATTGCAGAAAAAGGAAGAAGTCAGAAAATCATGACACTAAGCATGTTCCTGTGAATTAACAGCTGGGTATGAGTACGTAGAATTTTTTAATAAATAGGGGAAAATGTCTTGAAAATATGCCCTTTTTTTTTTTTTATTTAGCAGGTTTCAAAAGATATTTTCCACTTCACAGAATATTAAAATTTATGTATTTATAAGAAATACTTTGAGTTGAAAATCGTGTAATTTTTTTGGAAAAAAAATCAATTGTGGTATGAAAATAAGTTAATTAAAATTGTTGAATACAGGTATAGGTGGCAGCTTTAAGCAAATGGTTGTGAAAAAAAATCTCTCAATGAGAAAGAAAAGCTAAAGTCTGTTTTTGAAAAACACTTTTATTCCCAAGGCAATCTCCTAGTGGGAGAAGTTTAGGCAGCTCATTCACATTCTTTCTTTGCAGCCCCATCTCTGTGTTTTCCTGGTATTGTGTGGTGAAAGCTGCTGTCTCCTGTTGGCTTGTGTTACCTGAACCTTTAGCTTCTCAAGAACATGTCACTAATGGGTTCATGGGGCTAGAGCTGCTCTGAAGTCAGACCTGACATGCAGACAGTGAGTTGAGTGCTCTGTCTCAAAGCCCTTGTACAGCTGCTACCACAGATGTGGCCTGGAACAGCCAAGGAATGGATGTAGGATAATATTCTTCCCTTTAGCCACCAGAAAGGGATTCAGTGAGGTGCACTAGGGGTTTTCTTAGAGGTAAAAATGTCTTTTAGAAAGTAGCCTGGCAATTCAGCTGCTCCAACCTGCTGGTTACCAAGCCTGGATTCAGCTGAACAGGCTGATCCAGCTGAATTTTCACCAAATTATGGCCAGAAGCATTGAGTGACTGGGGAGGTGTGCAGTGATCCTTTAAGATTTTTACAGCAGATATGATGATGGAAAAGACATGGGTGAGCAATCATTAGTGATTCCCGTTCCTAATAGGACCTCCTGGGTGAAGACAGAAAGACAACTTACTCTGGTGGTCTTGATTTTATTGCCAGTCGCACACATCCATCCGGAATTATCAGGCAACGTCTTACATTCCTCTCCTTCTAGGCAGGGCTCCATCTCACACCACCATTTCCCAATCACTATAGAAGCTGAGAGAGAAAAGACAATGTTTGCAACTGAGTTACAATGAACAAATCTGCTTAAATAATGTCTCAGGGGTCTAACACTGCATTTAAAAGGCAGAGTGTCCCTTCAACTGGAGTTTAGTTGTAAGGATTTCATATTTAATTACTTCTTTGGCATCCTGCATCGCCTAAGACAGTGCAGTGCTTTCCACAGCCTCCTCACACACAAGATCCGGTCTGTTATCATGCTGTGACTGCAGGGGAAGCTGTGATGGCAGCAATACTGCTGCAAACCAAAGGACCATCCACCCTAACAGCCTGTCTCTGTGAGTGCCAATCTGATCCTTATGGACATGTGTAAGTACAAGGAAAGTCTAAAGAGATTTTCCTCAGAATATTCTCTGGGTCTTCAGGACTTGTGTCTGCTTTGCTTTCAGTACTTGCAGCTGGCTTTTTTTTTAACCACAAATCTGTCCAGAATTTTTTGAACCCATGGAGACCTTTAGCTTTCCCAGTATTCCATGGCAGGGAGCATCACAACTAGAAATAGAGGGCAAGGTAATACTGAACAGTAGCAGAAGTTTTTTGTTGAAACCTGATTATGAATTTTATAGAAACCATATTATCTCTAGCAGTAACTTTTAATTTCCAAATATTTAATGTTGTAAATAATGTCAGTGTTTGGACCTTGTTGTTTGAATTTAATTGGCATGTATGTTTACAACCTTGAATGTACCTTAATGAAGTTTCTTGCCTGGGAATTGGTATCTGACTATATCCTTAACTGTATCTTAATGACATTTTTTGTCTGGGGATGCTGATAAACTTTAACTCACCTTGCAACTGCGACTAGTTAGAGTGTGAGTGGCTCTGTCTGTGGTTTGTTTTCTCTGGCAAGAATTAATTTCATGGTTGTACTCAGGAAGCCTGTCAAAGCTTTCTGCACAGTCACTCAATTAGGGATGCTTAAACCATTCATATCACCCCACATGGCTGCTTCAAGCTCACAAAATAACTTGGAAGCAGCTGACTACCTTATACCTCACCATTCAGCTCTGGAAAATACCTTGTTGTGCATGCATTGATTTAAGGACATTTCAGAGTTTATAATTAAATTCTTGAATATAGAATTTAATAGAATAGTTCAGTTGAAGGGGCCCTACAATGATCCTCTAGTTCTCTGTGTTGTCCTTCCTGGTTCTTCCCACAGATTATACCTGATTTTTATCATGTAATATGTATCATTTATCCATATATGCAACACAAAAAGAAGCTCTTTGCACCTGTGTTTGTAAGGCAGTTTAATGATGCTATTCACACACCTTTTTCAGAAGGGTATCATTAATGCTGCTAACAGTAGAGAAAAGAGATATGTCTCTCTTTGCTAGGCATGAAAAGGCATGAGGGCTGAATCTGTGCTCTAATAATAGATTGTGCAGTGGGCAAACTGAAAAACCATATCCTGCTAAATACTGGCCTTCACAGCAATCATCAGAGCAGAGCATCCTCAGGATGTGTGAGAAGAATCTTGTGCCATGGAATCAAAAGTGATGATCACAATTATTTACTAGCAGCAGTGCTGTAGGATTAAATAACCATGGAGAAGGATCCCACAGTGCTGGGTACTGAAAAGCACAAACCTGAACACCCCGGCCTAGGGAGTTTACAGTGTAAACCAGAGATATGACATGAATACAGACTGAGAGGCAGCATGGAAAAGCAAAGCTGTTCATAGCAATTAAAATGATCTAACTGCTTATTGATGCTGCTAAATGCAGCCCAAGTATTCAGATCTCGACCTTGAAAAATAATCAAATGCAAAGTCAGCGCTGAACCTTAATGGCAACTGCTTCATGTAATGGTGTGCAGGTTTTAGTATATACATACACATACTTATTTATGTATTTATTTCTTTGTGAGCACAGTGCAGTGCAATCACAAGGAAGCCCACCCAAGTGTCCTTCAGTGAATACCCTCACCTGGGCTGGAGACCAGGCTCTTTTTATAGTGGGGGAAACCAAGGCCCTTTGCAGATGAAAAGCTGTTATTTGTCTCTAATATGTAAGTAGGCAAAATCCTTTGTAAGTCTGAAGGACTACAAAGCTCACTGTGGTCTCATCCTCAGCCCCATGCTGGGGCAAAGGCAGTCAGAACCCAATGAAAATTACTTCCTTTGAGTCTTGTGTTAATAGGTTTTCTCCTCTATTAAGAGCCTTGTAATCTTTAGGACCAGTTGTCCTTCTTGGGCACTGTTGATGAGTTCCACTTGATTTCAAAGTGTTACACCTCCAGCTCTGTTCAAAGAGGGAGAGAAAAGCTTTAAAATCAATCACAGTTTGCAGCCTTTGAGATTTGGGTCCACCTGTACAAGGAGGGGTGAACTTTCCCCAAGGAATATGATGCAGCTTCTCAGTGTTTAAGTTATGTCTCTCTGAGATGTGCTGAAGCAGTTGTGTGAGAGAGAGAATTGCTCAAGTTAAGATGCTTTCCCTCAGGGTGGTTTACACTCAAGAGCTACCAGATCATGAGGAACGTGAGCTTCTGACCTGAACTGCTAATTCTGGATGAGAATCCCAGATTCCCATTAGTCACCAGGCAGCACAGGCTGTGAGTGCTCACATCATGCTGAATTAGACACTTGTAATGTTTTGGAGTGGTTTTCATTGTGTTCTTCTCATTGTCTGGGGAATACACGAAGCACAGAGTTTCTTCGTGCACGGCTGAATTGACTGACACAGATACCCTCAGCCATGGGGAAAGAAAAAGGATGTGATGTAGAAAAGCCTTGACTACTCCTGCTTTCCTTGTATTTTGTTTTAGTTGTGTATTTTTTTTTGCTCCCCAGCTCCTACTTGTTTAAATAAGGGATTGCTTATATTTGAGTTATTTTCAAGAAAATGCCTCTTTTATAGGAATATTAAAATCTAAACATATAACCAGTGGGGCTGGGGAGAAAAGCAACTTCCTTCAGAAAATTCTCAAGATTTCTTTTCCAGTCAATTCACACAGGTTTATTTATTTTTTATTTTTTTTTTTAATTTTAATAAATCTTTGTTTGCAAAGCTTTAGAAAAAAAATTGATCAAAATATTTAACTTTTGATGTATTTAGTCTGCGTGGATTAACACAAAAAGCATTTGGTTGAAATGGCATTTGCTAATCATGTGCTCCAGAGAAATAAGCTACAGATAAGAAATCTCAGGATCAGATTGAATATAGGGAAAGGGGAATAGAACAGCTTATATTTTCTAGTGTTTACACAATTCTATTGCATTTTAAAATACGTTTGTTCCCAAACATAATGCCCAAGGCCTTAGGTGAGTGCAGAGAACTGCCAGTTTAGGTTGGATTCAGTGGATTTCAGCCTTCAAAGTTCATGAGAACCTTTGCAGGTTGCATAAGGGTAGTGACCGTGTTTTGACTTGCTCTTGTGCGGCACCTGGAGCACAAAGGTTCGATGCACGAAAGAGCTGGAGGGGGATGTTTTCCCCCTGAATTTCAGTAATAATGTATTCTATTAAGGGGCAGCAGAAATGCACTGAACAGCTTCAAACATCTACACCTAAAAGGTCAAATAAAAACGGAAACACTAATAATTCCATAATTTTCCTCTCAGATCAAGCCAAATTTGGAAAAAATACACAACCACCTGTTGAAACTCCTGAATTTACCATGTGTCACATTTATCAGTATTCAAGTTCTTGCACTAAACTGAATCTACTCAGTTGTTCAAAGCCCTCTTACAGGGGATTAACAGGACACAGACAGAGAAAATGTGTGCACACAGCCCAGAGACTCACAGGCACTCGCTTTTGTCATGTTTGCTACCCCAGTGTGTATAGAAAATGCAAAGGAGTTTTTTTCCCAGATAAAATTCTCCTTTAACTTTTCTGCATTTGTATTTAGGAGGTTGCTTTAACAACAAGACAAAGTCCATATGACAATAAGTATAAAGACATTATATTTAACAATGTAACAATATGACAATTCTCACGGAGTAATAGATAATTTTAATTCATGTTTATGGAATACCCCGAAATGTGAAAACAGAACAAAGTATCATCATGCATTTTTCAGCAGTTTAGAGGGAACACACTATGTATTAAAATGTTCCAAGATTGCTTCTGCAGTTGCCATTATGAAGCCATAGCAGCTCTCTTTTTGCCTGTGATAAAGTGTACACATTTTGTTTGTATAGAAATAGAATACAAAGGAATGGAGATATTAGATTGCGCTTCCTCCTGATTATGGGTATCGTGTTACTCCAAGGAATAAGCAGCAGAGTTCATTTTCAAAACCAGTATGATACTCATTGCAGGATGGGAAAGTTTCCACTGTAAGTATAGAACATTCCATTTTAATCTAGTTTCCACCAGCAAAGATTGATATAAATAAAATTTAAATAGAGAACACATTTCACAGATGTCAGAAGTGAAAAAGACTTTGTCAGCTTAATGAAAAGATATCAATTTTCTCCACTTTATTGAATAAATTGTGAGTCATTTTCTAAATGGATTAGATTAAAGGAAAGTTCAAACTCCCTGTGAGAGACTCTTGAGCTGATGGAGATTTTGGTGATGGCAATAGCACAGAGGTGGGTAAAGTCTTTCAGGTAGTTTTGTTTTTTTTTTTTTTCAGAATAAATAGATATAAACCAGTATGGGAGAAACTGTAACCCTGTGCTCACCTATTCCTTACAAAACAAAATCTCAGAGAACTGAACGAGACATAGTTTCTTTTACTTTATTGGGATGCCGTGGGGAGCGGGATGGAGTTGAGAACACACATTCTGGGAGGATGAGAAAACTGTACTGAAAGAAAGTGTCATATGAAGGGCTGTGTGTTTCATAAACAGACTGAAATAGCGGCTACTCTGGGAGCTGTAAAGCAGCAACCTGAAAAGTTAAAGAATACAAATCCAAACCAAAAGATTTCAGGTTGAATGTTGCTATCTAGGAAAAATACAGGGTGTTTCCTACAGGGAGTCCAAGCTATCAAACTCTCTGCTTTAATTCAATCTTACTC